TTTTACTTGCATTGGGCAACTCAAATTCTGTAATCCAGAAACAACACAATTGTATATAGTGTGACCAGTAAACAAAGTGGTGCTCTACAGAATTTGAAAATTTGCATCTCATTATCATATGGCAATGAGAAATGTAGATGTTAACACTAGATTGAAAATTATAGTAAATTTAATCCAGATTCGACTCGAGATTGGTGTTTAAAACTCGTTTAAGTTAAGTAGTTGGGAGAAAATCATGTCGGCACATTGAGCTTCTTCGGTCTCAATTCAACGAAACGTCAAATAAATTGAGAAAGAATTAGTGAAGTCAACCACAAAATTGTTCGATTTTTTCAATTAATATTATGAGATGTTCGACGTGTAACTGGTGAACACATTTTAACATATCTTGGATGGTAGGTCGAACATTTCCATTAATATCATTTATATTATGGAGTCAATGTTAGTTTGATTGGATACTTGATTGTCAAATGAGAAACATTTTAGCCATGCCTAAAAAGTTTACTATTTTTTAAAGCTAATAAGACAGCAAGTACTTTGACATGCTTATAGGCAAACCAAAACAAAAAGTGAAAAAAACCCATGGTCAATAAGCTTATAAACACACAAACAAACAAAAAATCACAAGTCCATATTTAATGCAATAATTAGTTATTATTTTATTTTATTTTATTTTTTCTTCGACAAAATTACATTTTTAGTTCTGTTGGTTTAACGCCGTAGTATTTTCACTCTCAAAATTTTAAATATTTGTCTTTTGATCATGTAATTTAATATTTTGTTGCAATTTTCAGTCTCAATGACTGAAATTACAGGACTTAAATTGCTAATTAATAATTCATTCAAAAGATTTTTTATTAGTAATTTAAGTCATGTGATTTTAAATTTTGTTGCAATTTCAGTTCGTTGGAACTGAAATTCCGTTGAGTTTTAAAATTATAGGACCAAATAGCAAAAATGTTCAGTTCTTAAGATTAAAAACGCCACTAGATCGGAGTAAAATTATAATTTTGCTTTTTTCTTTTGTCTTAATAGTGAGTAACTAGGGATTGAGTTTGAGATTCCTGTATTGATACATCAAATCAAAGAAGTCCTTTTTTGTGTAAAACTTGTCTGTCAGATATAAAAGGTGAAAACTATAGGTCAAAGAAAATAATAAAAATAATAATAATAATAATAATAATAATAATAATAATAATAATAATAATAATAATAATAATAATAATAATAATAATAATAGATTCTTTTGTAGCTCACATTTTGTTTGTGTGTGCAAAACCATTTAGGCCTTTTGCAATATTCCTATTGAGAATCAATCCTCTACTGTCACGCTCTCTACAGTTCTTTTCTACGTTTTGTTCAACTTAATTAAGACAATGACATTACAAGCAATGACAAATAATTCTAAAATAGGACGACTTGAGCGGATTGTATATGTTAGATTTTGTCCGTTAAAATGAGTTATTTTTAAATGAACTTAAGAGTTTGAAATTAAATAACATTTAAAATATAATCAATAAGATCGATGTGATGTTAAAGTAGTAGGGATATTTTTTAAAGTGATAGATAGCATTGTTCTAAAAATTAGCTTGGGCGGCCGGCTAGGCGCTAGGCGGTGCCCGGACGCCTCCGATTTGTACAAATCGGCAGAAAAAATAGATTAGGCGGCCCTAGACGGACTTGACGGGCTCGGCGAATAGGCGGTTAGGCGGCACCTAGGCGGGCATAGGTGGACCTAGGCGCTCTTAGGTGGGCTCGGCGGGCAATTTTTCAGTTTTTTTTTTTAATTTTTTAAATACTAATTACATCATTTTGTTCTAATGTTTTCTTTAAAATATATAAATTTTATTATTTGGACTTAGGTGTGGCGATTTATTATAAGATGAAATAGTTTTATTTTGTAGATAGTTAAAATAAATAAAAAATAAGTTATTTAATATTGATTTCTAGACCCCGACTAGGCGCCGCCTAGACGCTTTAGGCGCTAGTCGCTGGTCGAGCGCCTAGCAGGTGACTACCGACTTTTAGAACACTGATAGATAGTTAAAATCATGTGACTAGATAAATAGTTAATTAAAATTGATGTGCTATGTAAGAATGATTAATTAGTATCATTTAATATTGATAAGAGTTAGGCTGAGATGAATTTTGAGTCAAAAAATTGAAAAGAAAATAACTCAGTCGATCAAATCGATCAAAACACGATTTGTCTCATATCTAAACGCGCTCTAAGTAATCGACGAACAATACTAATATTTGAGAACTCTGGAGACTCAAACAAAAATATACTATACGTGTGAACTGCATGCCCACACACTACTCCCAACTTCCATTCGCCTTAGTCCTATAGGACTAAGGCTTTGCCGTTTTTGCCCTCCTGTCCTCTTGCCTCGAGGATTAAGGCCTCGCGCCCTGCGTGCGCCATTCTTATTCCTTGAAGGATCATGCCTTAGGCTCAGAAAGAATGGAATCTATTATGAGTTAATTATTTCACCGGTAGCCGAATTTAAAGCTGATGCCATTCATATGAGTTATGAGTTAGGCAAAGTGGATTTCAAGACATTTTTCGTAATCGGGAGTCTTGTAGGAATATCCACGGAGCAGCACCCAGAAGTTTTCATTAAAAAGAGCACTTGTCTTGAGTTACTCAAACACTATTTTTATATATTTTAACTTATTTTTAATTTATAATTAATTTTTCATTCACTTTAAAATGATTCCTAAAACTTTCTAAATTTATCTTTTACAAAAAAAAAAAAAAAAAGAGCCTTCAGTTCACACACACATACACATTTGTACGGATGTATTTGATGTAGCGGCTCATATCACAATTTGGGCACAGATTTGCCATAACAAATGGACCATCCCATTATATGGAAGAAAGAATATAATAAGCCCAAAACTGAACAAACTACCAGAGGAGACCCAATAGCCCAACAATTTGGGGGAAAACAAAAGGAAAATGAAAAGAAAAATAAAATAAAACCAATCAACTCGTTGGTTTTGGGTCAGGCCCACAGACCCTCCGGGCCAGTCCTTGGCTACTGGTCTTACGACTGTTAACAAAATCCAACTTCCTCAAATTGTCTCTTTCCTCTCTCCTCCATATTGCCTTATTTTTATTGGATAATTATATTTTTTTGTGTTAAAAAAATTAATTAAAAATACTAAATTCGTAATTTTTTTTATTCTATAAATATAGAGCACATTTGACATGATTTAGAACATAATTGCAATTTCTAAATAAATAAAATAAAATAAAAGGTAAGTTGTGCTGGACAGGAAATAAAGATAATATGAGTCGAACGGTCTGGTTGTTAAGTAAACGAGAAAGAAATAAATTTTAATTATTAAATTAAATTGGGTTGCGTTGTGGATAAAAATAGTCTTATCAAATGGGTCCGGCCCGACCTTGTCTCTATGACTATGTACCAACAAACAAAACATAAAAATATATTTCCACATTGGGCCTTTTCTCTCATTACAATACAACAAATCCTCAAAATATAATGTTGGCCCATACACTTTCACTACCGAAAATACCCTCCTCAAACCCAAGAATGGTACTTCCTACCTAAAATCAAATAAATCCGATTTATTTTAGAGAAAAATATAACATTCCATGGACGAATGTGACGTAATATCAAGCAGCTCACCGCCTGTCGGTGGCCACGTGATCTCGCCTTTCGCGCCCGCCAACTTTCGGCTCCTCTCGCCGGACCCGTCCATTTTCCCCGGCGATTTTCCACCAGTGCGGCCTGCTGTTTTTCTCCGGCTGTGGCCGGTTCTGGATCCAACCCGATCCGGAGATATTCCCGCTGCCGCCGACGTCAGCCTGCCGGGAACGCTTGACGTCATTGAGGGTTCCCTGTAAACGGCGCCGCCGTTTGGTCGGATTGTTTCGTGGAGAACTCCCTTCGCCGTCTCGTTCTCCGAAACCTGACACGTGGCGGCTGAGGATTGGCTGTTACGCTCGCCGCTAGCGGTGCTAACGCAGCTACCCATCTGGATTTTTCTTTTTTTTGCTGCTATTTTATTTTATTTTTATTTTTTTTTTGATGAGTGGTGAGTGAGTCGAACATATGGAGAGTGTATTTATATTTATAACAAGTTATAAATGTCGTATTGTAGAACTATCTATTTTGATCTTTTACTTGATTTAATTTGAAACGTTAATTATGTAAAATGGTAAAATATAAACATGTACTATTGGAGTAGCCATTCATATTGATGATAAACTTAGCAAAAAAAAATAAAAATAAAAAATCAATTAGTACTCACACCAAGTTTCATTCGTCATTTATTCACTCACATAATTTTAACTAATCATCACTTCCAATATTTTTTCTTGTATTTTTACATCAAAATAAAATATAATTATTTTATTTTAAATCTAGTTTTAATTTAAACTATTTTTTAAAAACTTTCACCAACAACTAATCATACCATATTTTTTTAAATTAACTATGATTAACAAAAAAGCTAATTAAATCCATTTCCAATCACACCCTAAGGGTGTGATTGTTTATCAATCCACCTAAAAAAACCAATCAAAACTCAAATTTAACTCAACTTTAACTCAACCCCACTATCTCCAATATTATCAATATAATTAAATAATATCAACCAATCATTCTTATACATCACATCAACTTTAATTCACTATTCATCTACTCACATAATTTTAACTAACTATCATCTCCAATCATTTTTCTCTTACTTTTACATCATATCAACTTTAATTATTTTATTTAAAATATTATTTTAATATAACAACTAAAAAACTAATCATACCAACTTTTTTTAATAATAACTATGGTTAAAAAATAACTAGTTAAAAACTAGATGAATTCATAAACAATCACCCTCTTTAGAGTCTCAACAAACATCCCCTATAGTTTTAAAATAAAACCAGAATAGACAATAAAGATACCAACTCTCGTGAAATTTGCGAGCTTCAGCTTCTTGGAGTTAAATGTCGGCTGCAAGGAAGTTCCCTGATAGAGCAACCTGCAGCAAGTGAAAACAAACGTGCCAGCATCAAGTTACGTTTCCTTTCTTTTGTCCTTTCGTTTTACTACTCTGCACATACCTTTTCGCCTAGCTTAAATGGAGGAAGGCCCTTATAGGGACATGTACCGCACCGAAAAGCATCACCAAGACCACACTGCACCGAGCAAATATTCGACACGTTTAGATTGCATAAAAACTAAAGGCAGTACCATAAAAAGAAGCAAAATGCTAATAAATGATGGACATGTGGGAAAACAGCATTTAAAAAATTGAAAAAGGATGAGCGGCATTTCTAAACTCAAGACCCGCATGTGAACTAGACATACATTTCCACAAGCAGATTGAGGATTATCCAGCTGATCCATTGTAAGTCCAAGCTTCTCCACTTTTTGCTCTGCTTCGGCTCGTCCACAAGTACAATTTTTGCAAGCTTTCCTTGTGCTCCCAACTTCACAATCACCCACTGCATGTATCAAATTCCAATGTAAGCCCATAAGACAACATTCCGAGGTCATAAGATGGATAAAACTGTAAGAGAAAACGATGAAAGACTAACCAGGTGGTAATTGGGGTTTCTTGAGGTCCTCTTCTGTCAAGAGGCTGTCCTCATCAATCAAGTCCACATCATCGTCAATCTGAACTTTGGGTAACACTTGTGAGCTTTTCTTAATGGAAAAAGATGAACCAATCTCCCATGTGGGCTTCTTTCCCGACACCTTTGACCATAAAAAAACAAATTTGACGCGGATCGAGAAACTAGGTGATGATCTTAAATCTCAAAAATCCAGATCGAGAAAGTATAATTCTTGACAGAAACCAAAACATCCACAGTGATATCAGTAAAGCATGCATAACCTAGTATCTGACCAGACAGAATAGAATATCCAAATCCCAACTGCTCTTCCCTGACCCATTTATACATTTAGCATAAAAAACATACATTTCAAATCGCAGGTTAATATGCTAACTTCCGCTACTAAAATGGGCAGCTCAATGAAAGTAAACGAGAGTGGAATTTCAAAATAAAAAAGCATGTTCAAGAAGAAACAGTGGCAATATAGCTGAGAAAATTTACCCCAAATGAATGACCACCATAGAGGATTTCAGGTCTAGAAAACCAGCCAGCAGCAACTTACGCTCATGGGAAGAATTGACCTACAAGAGAACCCGGACTAATTTTATTTCATATGCTCAAACCAAAAATAAAAAATGAACGATTAATGATAAACAGAAATCCCAAGTAAGAAAACGAGTACCGTTTGCCCCTGAGAAGTTTCACGGGTCGAATAAAGAAGGATAGTTCCACCAGGTTTTAGAATTCTTGAGATGTCAGCAAGTAACTGTTCGCTAGGAAAGTCAAGCGAGTTACAAAGAGAGACAATACCATCAACTGACGAGGATTCCACTGACATTAGACCTGCAACGAGACACCAAAATATACAACCACTCTAGGCCATGTTGTAAAGGTACTCTAATGAGCTGTAAATCCTTTTTTTTGAAAGGAATAAGAAAGCTTTTCTCGACAGAAAATTAATCACACAACATTTTTATCAACGAAGGAAATACCAATCGAACAAAGTGGAACATCATCAACTATATCTCCAGCTGATCCGCAACATCACCCACTCCGAAAAACTATTCCAGAAAATTGGATTATACAGCTATCAGACAGATCAACGCAAATAAAAACCAAATATACCAAGTGCACACGATCCAGTTACTACAAAACAAAGCATATTTCTACATATATTAAAGAACTGATAGAAGAATTACTTTGGGACGAAGCTTGAGTAATGACAAGGGGATCAAAATCTTCAACTCCTTCCTTCAACCCCTTAACAGCATCACGAACTGCACTTATAGATACGGCTATAAGTGCTCAATACATTTATTCCCTACATTGACCTGTTAATTGTTTGAATGAACCGAAAATATTGTGGATGCTCAATACTATCTCTAATAATTTTTCCATTACTCTATTTTATTGTCACATGACACAAATAATCTTATGCAATATGTAAAATGTCTAGAAGTCTTTCCAGATGTAGACGTTATTTTAAACAATTTATATTATATATTATATTATTTCTTCAGTTTATCTCTCTTCTCAAACCAACTACAATTTTACACATCACAAATGATATCATAATTAACCTTAATCATTAGAGAGACAATTTTTTAATTTTCTTTTTTCATAACATACAACACAAAAATGAAAAATGTTCTAAGATACTCCAAAAAAGTGCATTTATGAACTAAACGTTCTTTCAATTTTGACCATAATATAGTTCTCAAATAATTTTGTCTATTTTGTAAATAGATCCATTTTTTTTTGTGTGTGTATCTGTTATGTATGATAAGGGAGATGATCGGGAATTGGCCGGAGAAGAAGAATCGAGTTTAATGTGGAAAGGAAATGATTTACAGAAAGTGGACTTAGAAGCTGAAGAGATGAAATCGTCGGTTGGGCCAAATGAAGATGAGTTGCTTGGGACTTCTTCTACCCTGGATTAGTTGGGCTGAATTTAAGACTTATTTAATATTTAAGTTGGCCTTTTATGTGGTCCATTATTAGTATTATGTTTGGCATTTTAGAATAGCATGTTTAAGGATAATTTGGAAATTCACATGTGGTCCCAGATTGAGTTTGTTATGTATGCAAGTGCGTGAGAAATGAAAATAGAATTGTCAGTGTTTATTCTCTTCCAATCTTCTCTCTCTCTCTCTCTCTCTCTATCTCTCTCTCTTTCTCTCTCTACTGTCACTTTCTCTCAGCTTCTCCCCTTTCTTCATACAACTCCAAAATTCACCATTAAAACAAGGGTTATGATATTTACAAGCTAATTTACATACGAAATTAGTAAATTCATAACAGTGGTATTCAGAGCAAGGCTATCCTCGGCCATGGCAGAAGCTACAAGGTTCAAGGACCTGCAAGAAGCACAGAAAAGAATTGATCATACATTGCAGACAGAAGCACTCGAAAGAGAAGCAACTGAAATGAAGCTACAAGACCAGATTAATGGATTGAGCAATGATCTGACAGGTAAACTAGAAAACCTCACAAATACCATAGCTTCGATGCAGCTGCAACTCCTTAATGAATAGGGAAAGGAGCCCAAATGGAGATGAGTCCATTCTTGGCCCAGGACATGGAAGTGGCAGCAGAAACCAACAATCCTACACCCACAGACCTCTATTGGAACACCCACAAATCATACACCCTTTACCAAAAATCGATTTCCCAAATTTGATGGATCAAACCCCAGAACCTGGATCCTCAAATGCAACAGTTATTTTAAACTTGTCCCTAATATCCCAGAAGAACAAAAAGTCACACTAGCCACTATGCATTTTGAAGGCAAAGCTGCCTTATGGTACCAAAATTTTAGTATCAGGAAGGGAGATATTTGTTGGGTGCAATTTTTGGAGGTGGTTTCTGTAAGGTTTGAGGAATTAAAGGAAGCCAAAATCATAGCTGAATTCAATAAACTCAAGCAGACTGAGAGCTATAATGACTATGTGGATAGGTTTGAGGAGTTGAAGGCTTGTATGCTATTGATGTATCATGCTCAGTACACACAAGAGTACTTCATTGCCAGTTTCATCAGTGGATTACCTGAGGAGGCCCAGGCCTTCATAACAATGTTTGAACCTATTTCACTGCATCAAGCTATGGAGTTGGGTAAAAAGCAGCAGATGACCATTGAAGCTATCACAAAGAAGGTAAAAGGAATTAACAAGCCTAGCCAGTTCCAAACCTATTCAAACATCAAGAAGCCTGAGACTCAAAATACAGCTACCCAGAGAAATACCAACAACTACCAAATGAACCTGTCAAGTTACTTACAGCCAATGAGATGGCTGCAAGGAGAGAAAAGGGACTTTGCTATAACTGTGATGAGAAGTTCACTTATGGGCACATGTGCAAAAGTAGAGTGAAATATATGATTATGACGGAGGATGAAGAACTTGTTTGTGTGCAAGATGTTCTTGAAGATGAAACAGACAATTCAACCTGTGAACCTATAGAAGAGGTGCATGTGACAGTCAACTCCATTGTTGGGGAGGATGGTTTAACAACCATGAGGGTCATAGGAGAATTCAAGGGGCAGAAATTACATATCCTGATTGACTCTGGCAGTACATTAAGTTCATTCAAGAAAAAACTGCAAAGAAATTGGGGTGCAATCTTAATGACACTAAACTTATTTTGGTTAAGGTTGCAAATGGGCAGAGAATGGTGAGTTCTCAAATGGTTGGAGAGTTTCAGTAGGTCATGCAGGGACAAACTTTCAATTACTCACTCAGACTCTTACAAAGTGAAGGCTGTGATTTGATATTAGGTGGGGATTGGCTTAAATCTTGCACACCTATAGAATTGGACTACAAGAAGATGACAGTCATTGTGGCTTGGCTGGGAAAAAGGGTTAGGCTACAAGCACTGACCAGCAATGTTGGGGGTAAGTTAATTTCAGGGCCCACACTTTTCAAACTTATGCAGGTGAATTCCACTGAGATTGAAGAGCTTTACTGGATGTCCCCTGTGGGACCTGACAACTCACACAATCCTGCATTACAAGATCTACTCAATGAGTTCTCTGATATTTTTGAAGAACCTAGGGGATTACCTCCTGAGAGAGGTGTTGAGCATCAAATTCATTTTAAAACCTGGGAGTGCCTCAAAACATCAATACCCTTATAGATCTCCACACAAACACAAGGAGGAAATTGAGAAGTTGGTGCAAGAAATGTGGGAAGTTGGCATCATACAGAATAGCAAGAGCCCATTTACCTCTCATGTTCTTCTAGTGAAAAAGAAGGATTCTAGCTAGAGGTTGTGTGTGGATTACAGGTACCTAAACAACTTAACTATCAAGCATGACTATCCCATACCACTCATAGATGAATTGCTAGATGAACTACATGGCTCCAAGTTCTTTTCCAAAATTGATTTGAGATCATGATATTTCAAAATCCTAACGAAGCCAGAGCACCGATTTTTAACTGCATTCAGCACTCACAGTGGCCACTATGAGTTTTTTAGCATGCCCTTTGGGCTGTGTAATGCTCCTGCCACTTTCCACTAAAAAAAATATTTTTTTTTTTTGGATATTACAAAGATACATAAAATATTTTGAAAAGTCAAATCACATAAAATAAAACTTTTCTGCAATGTTCCTGCAATATATTTAAAATTTTTAATATTATATGTATAAATATAACTTATTATACTCTATGCAATACTATTATCTAACTTATAATTTTAATATTATATACATATAAATAACTTAATTTTTTTTATTTATATGTGTACAAATATACAAGATCGAATACTAATAAAGATTAAACCAAAGAGGTGAGAAATAACAATAAATAAGGTCAACATTTAGGTGTGGGGCTTTTGACTCTTAATATAATTGTACCCAAAAAAAAAAAAAAATGAAAGATATTATTGTGACGATTTTGATTTATTTTTATTTTCTTTATTCCTCCGCTTTGTACGTAAGCTGTTTCTGTTGGGGTCTCTCTTTTCCCCGTCGGTCGAACTTTTCCGTCCCCATTTTTTCACGCGAAAAAGACCGCACACACACAAACACACAGTCGTTCGTATGTTCTTCTCCATTTTCTTTTGATTTGTTATACGATTATTATAAGTACACGGCAGAATTACGCGAGGTGATTTGAGGCGATTTTTCATTTTTTTTTGTAAAGAAAGGAGGAGTTTCAATTTCAGCTGGGGAAAATTCAATCTCCTCACTACACGCTGCGTGTTGGATTAAATCGAATCAGTAGATTGAAGGTATACGCGCTTCATGAATCCAATCTTTGTTTCTGTTTATGTGTGTGTGTGTGTGTGTGTGTGTGTGTTTGTGTGTGTGTGTGTGTGCGTGTTTCTGTTTGTGTGTTCTGGTAGTATAAGGACGATCAACGATGTGTGTGTTTGTGTGTGTGATTTTTTTTTGGTATTTTTTTTTAATTTAATGCAAATGTGGATTGTGGATTTGTGATGCCTTAATTTGATGCGTTTATTGTTATTATTTGATGTTTTACTAGTTTTGTTTGTTCGATGAACGTAAAAGTATCTGAAGCTAAAAACGTTGGACAATTCATTATTCATCTTCTTATTCGTGAGGTGATTTGTCGATTTGTTTGCTTTCAGCTGAATGTAGAATCGCTTAATTTGTTCGTGTTGTTGAGGAACGGAGTGCAAAATATGGGTAATAATTACCGCTGTCATTTGGTCGTATGATGTTTTCTTATTTTAATTTTGAAATTGTCAGCGATTTGATGTTTGAAAAAACTTCTTGTTAACTGAACGAACACGGAAAATTTAATGTTTATATTATCAAAGGAAAAAGAATATGAAATTGTGTGCACAGAAATGGGATGTGCATCAATTGGTCTACTGTAAGATTATTGCACGAGTGAAGTGTTGTTCATTTGATGTGAGAAAATGTATTTCTCATTTTTCGTAAATCTGTTTGTAACCTATATGCAAAGTGCATCATGCTCCTCACAAGATCTGCATGTCACAGTTTTAACCGACACGAGTTTTATAAGCTGCATTTTAGAAATATGACACGCGTATTATAAACTGCACCATGCTCCGTTTGTCATTCTCACAATGCTTGGAATTACATTTTTTTTTTTCCTTTCTTTGGTTAATTGTGTCCAAGGATGCTTTCTTGTGGTGATGTCGAACTTGTGTTAGGATAAGCTCGTTTTGTGCCTTCAATTATGATGATGACTTTTGGCAAAGGTGTAGCTTAGGATGGTAGTTATGCCTTTGGAGTTTTGCTTTATCATATTAACATATAAGTTATAACATAAGATATTCATGCAATTATTGTAGTCTGGTTTATGGTGAGCGTCAGCCGAACCCCATAGCCACCTATGAAAGGATCATCGTCATGGAGGTGGATGATGAAGAAACAACACGTCTTATTTGATGGGGTATATTTTCTTGAGTAAATTTTGGTTTTCAACTTTGTTAAATAGAAACAGTAGTGTTAAAGATGGGAAAACAAATTCTCAATTTGAAGTTGGAACTGCAGCAGGTATGTGGAGCAAAGAAAAAACAGATTCCGTTTTTGGGATTTGTTTGTATGGCAATGTTGTTCATCTTATATAGGACAACAAATTACCAGTATCAACAGGCAGAGGTATAGTAGACACTAGACACTGCTTCATTTTTAATTTTTATTCACTGAAAAATATTAATTATTGGCATTGATACCTTCATTGTTCTTTTAAAGTCTTCTTCGTCATTTCATGATTATTTCCTTTTCTTCTTTGCCACCTTTTATCAGATGGACTCAAAATTATACCCTTTCGACACATCAAAGGTAAATCTTAATATTGCATATCTTGCCTAATTATTTTACTTTCCTGTAGAACTCTGTCTTGAGTTACAATATGAAGGTTTTATTCTTTTGTTCTTGTCCTTTTTCTCTCTTCATATTTATTTTGTTGATTTTTTAAAATTTATGTTATTAAGTTGCTGTTAATTTATACACAGGACCCAGATGTGGTCACCACTGGCTTAAATGGTTTGCCTCGTGGAATCATTGAAGCAACGTCAGACCTGGAATTAAAGCCTTTATGGAGTAGTTCTAAATCAAAGGTATTACTTGACATGAATTGCAATAAGAATACGTAAAACAATTTTTATCGTTGTCTGCATTATACATTTGTTTGTGAGGACTTGTATAGTCAAGCTCTAATCCATATATATTTATTTATTTTTATTTTTTTCTGACTTTTCAGCAAACTGTACAGCGCTCTTACAATTTGCTAGCAATGCCTGTTGGAATTAAACAAAAGAATAATGTCAATGCCGTGGTTCAAAAGGTACTGCAGTGGATTTGGGTTTTAACACTGGAAATAGTTTTGACCATACAACATATATTTGGTCCATCGCTGATCTCCTTTTTCTTTGTTCAGTTTCTTTCAGAAAATTTTACTATTGTGTTGTTCCATTATGATGGAAACTTGACTGGGTGGTCAGACCTGAATTGGAGTAGTGAAGCTGTACATATAGTCGCTCACAACCAAACAAAATGGTACAACTTTATATTCTAATGACTCTTTGCATGTTATAATTTTCGACAATATTGTGTAATTCGGCCTTGTATTTTCCTCATTCTAAGGCTATGTTGTTGTTGTTACTTATTCCCAATGTTTCAGGTGGTTTGCAAAACGCTTTTTGCATCCAGCTGTCGTGTCTAGTTATGATTACATATTCCTCTGGGACGAAGATTTGGGGGTAGAGCATTTCCACCCTGGAAGGTGCTATTTGCATCATTATTTTATTTTTTTCTCCATCCTTTTTCCCGGAAGTCAATTTCATTGCATCAAGTATTTTCATCAGATGATGATTATCTCACATTTTTTTCTGATTATTCTTTTCTCGGTGAAGGTGCCAGTTACTATTTCTCATTCTGAAACTTTTTCTTGGTTCAGTTATGAACACCTTGTGTTCTGTTTCTAGAAAATGATGAAAGTGTTCATCTTGAGATCTTTATCATGTAGTTGATTAAAAGTCACATCGGCAAGAAAAAGAAAACTTTCTATTTATTCAAGGCACCACATGGCCTCATATGGTGCATTCATTGTTACTCAAACTTTTTCCTTTTTGATCAGGTATCTCGACATTGTCAAATCATCTGGACTTGAAATATCTCAGCCAGCGTTGGACCCGAATTCAACCGGCATACACCATAGGATCACAATTAGAAACAGAATGAAAATATTCCACAGGTAACTTTGCATGCAAATTTACAGTAATTAAAATGTTCGGTATTATGGTGCCTCTGGTTCTTAAACATTCTATCTTAAGCAGAAGAGTCTATGAAGATAGAGGTAATACCAAATGTTCAGATGATAGTGAGGGCCCACCATGCACCGGGTAAGAACCCATTTTTATCTTCAAAATTTAAATATTCATGGAACCCATTTTTATCTTCAAATTTTAAATATGACCTAAAACACGTGCTTAGCAAATATCATTCCGATGAGTTTGCAATTCCTTAATAAAAGGGAAAGAATAACAAAATGTTGGTGGGATACATTAAATTTGAATTATTACTGGGACTTTCTGTGATAAATTATACCTGAAAGACACTGTTACTAAATACTGCTCCCTCATAATGCATTTACTTGACACAAAATCTCCGCCCGCCACATTCATTATGCGAGCTCTCACAGCTTATTTTATTTGACTTCATATGCCTTATATTCGTTTATGTAGTTCATATTTTTCCAGGCTTAAAAGAGACTGGTTACTCATGATGTTTTTACTTTTATATATTTATAATTATATATTTTACAGGTTTGTGGAAGGAATGGCTCCTGTTTTTTCCAGGTCAGCATGGCAGTGTGCCTGGCATTTGATACAGGTATATTTTTTTTTATTTTACTAGATGAATAATGAAATTTACTCATAAATACTGACATTTGTTTTTCTACGCATTCCCAATAATTCTTGCATCATATTTCCCTTTTTCAGAACGACCTAGTTCATGGATGGGGCATGGACATGAAACTCGGCTATTGTGCACAGGTAAGCCAACTGTTTTTTTTACTATTTTTCCTTATATGCAACCTCTTATTATAGTCTTTTCACAAACATTTTTCAATATCAACTCATTTTTTTTTAATACTACGCATTATTATATCATATTTTTTTCTTTTATACAGGGGGATCGCACGAAAAATGTGGGGGTAGTTGATAGTGAATACGTAGTTCATCAGAGTATACAATCTTTGGGTGGGCAATCCACAGAGAAGGTAATCTCTCTCTCTCTCTCTCTCTCTCTCTCTCTCTCTCTTTCTCTCTCTCTCAATCTGAGTTTAAGATGTTTTTCTTGCATCCTGGCAGGCCTCAAATCCTGAAGAGTTAGTTAAGGTACATTTTTAAACAATTCATGCTATAATTGACTTTTTTTTTCTTCATTATTATCTGAGCAAATATAAGTACACTATAGTCAGCTAAAACTTAACTGATTGTTTTTTTCCCTTTTGAACAGAGACACAAAGTGGATGTTAGATCAGAGGTGAGAAGATTTAATTAGTAACTAATTTTAATGTTATTTACTTTTTTTTTTGTATTTATTTTGTGTGTACATATGCATAATATTCATATGATGTCAATTGAAGATTTAAGAAAAGCGCGGTACAAATGTTGTTTTGGTTTCGGGTTTGTTACGGGTGCAGATTAGGAGGCAGTCGACCATAGAGCTTCAAACTTTCAACCAACGTTGGGATCAGGCCGTGAAGGAAGACAATAAGTGGGTCGACCCGTTTCCTTCGACCCGGAAACGCAAGCTTAGACGCAATCTTTAAACTTAGCCTGTCCAAGTTTTGAACCTTCGGATCGACTGACTACATAGGTGATCATTTTGTAACTATTCTAGAATGTAGGATTTTTTTTTTTTTTTTTTTTGTTATGTTAACTGTTTTGGTTTTTGGATGCTTGGATATGGGATGTTTCGATTTTGTTTGAATTTTTTGATTTAGTATGATTAATTTTGAAAAAGCGGGTTAATTGTTAGTGAAATTTTGAGTTTATATTAAAATAATATTTAAAATAAAATAATTAAAGTTGATTTGATATAAAAGTATGCTGGAGATGAAGTGAAGTGACAGTTAGTTAATATTATGTGAGTTATTGAATATTAAATTAAAGTTCATGTAATCTGTAAGAATAATTGAGTGATATTATTTGATTTTATTAATAATATTAAGGATAGTGTGTTTGAGTTAAAGTTGAATGAAATTTTGAGTATAACTTCAAAAACACAATTAAAGGGCGATATATAAAATCAATAAACCGGCGTGTGCAAACCGTATTCGTTTGACTAGGTGTAAATCGAGGATCTACCCAAATCGGGTCTGACTTGTGCAAACAGTAGACCACATCAGGGAAATTTATATATTAAAAATAATAAAAAATACAAGTGGATAAAAAAAAACAATAAAAAAAAATGTGGAACAAAATCAAAAACACATATTTAGAGAATATGTTTTCCTTACAAATTTAATTGTAAAACGTATTCTCATATAGACATGGTCACGGGTCACCTGGCCTGGACCCGGCCCGATCAAACTCGTTCACCACGGGTCCGAGCCCGACACGGATTTCAAACGGGGCGGTCAAGGATTATATTTTTTTCGACCTTGACCCGGCGGGCCGGGCCGGGTCCGTGTCGACACGAAAAAAAACATTACTTTTGAATTTTTTGTTTTTTTTTTTTTTAATTTTTTTATGTGGTCGGGCTCAAACCCGGGTTGGGCCCGACCCGGCACGACCCTAGGTTCGTGCTGGTTCAGGGTCGTCAAAACCCAACCCGGTGGCTCGGTGGGCCGAGCCGGGTCGCAGTTTTTTGCCATGTCTATTCTCATAATACGTTTTACAAAAATTTTTACAATGAAAAACGTATTTTGAGAATACGTTTTCTATTTTTTTCTACTTGCATTTGTTTGTGTATTTTTTGTTCCAGCACTTTATTTTTTTTAATTTTCCGGTAAAAAAATCGACCAAATCGAGTTTAACCAACAAATAAATGGAGATATATATATATATTAAAAAAAAAAAAAAACCTACCCAATTCGGGCGGACTTATAGTCGACCAGTCGGTCTAGTCCGAACCGAAAAACGCGGTTAAAGAGAGAAATAAAATAAATAAACCGTCATGTGCAAAGTGCAAACCGGATCTGGTTTGACTAGAGAGACAAAGCCTGCACTTTTCTCTCTCCACCCGAGTTTTCCTCTGTCCAGATTTTCCTTTTCTTCAGCCGCCGGCTGCCTCAATAATCTTCGACCACCGTTGAGAGCTTCAGATCTCCATAACAAAGACGCAGATTTATCTAATTTTTTTGAAGTTGATTTGAGAAGAGGATGGCTAACCGTTACGATCCCAACCCTTTCGACGAAGGAGACGAAGTTAATCCCTTTGCTGTGAGTTTTCTTTTCCTTTTGTTTTCACTTCTTGTACTTCCATGAATGAGGGTCAGGCGTGTGCGCGGCTCTAGAATGAACTTCTCGTGTTATTATGGGCGAAGAATTTGAAGTTGAGAAAATAATTGGGGGGTTTTTGAATGACTTTGATTGACTTGGTTGCTTGATACGGAAAATAATTGCAGATCGGTGGGGGAGTGAATGGGATCTTTGATGAATTTGATTGACTTCGCAGTTGGTTCTAAGTGCAGATTCGGTGTGGGGACTTTGAACTTGAGGGGTCTGTATTTGGAGTTGGAGGCTCGGAGTGATTTCCACTGTTGAATTTCTGTTTTGAAGTTTAATTTTGCTTAACGTGGGGTTGAGGCATTTGGGTTTTGTGGTTTTTGGTCGTGAGATTCTGATGTTAGTTGTTTACGTTTGTTTGCTTTGATGTAAGTTTCCTGAGTGTATGCGTAGCAGCATGACTGTTTTAGCTTTTCGAACCTTATGGCTGTGCTTTATAAGCGTCGTCTTAATTCGAAGAAAGCTATTAGAGGTGAAGAGTTTGAAGTTGAGGAAAAAGATTGGGGTTTTTGAATGACTTTGATTGGCTTGTAATCTTTGATCAATTTGATGGAGTTCGCATTTGGTTCTAAGTGTAGACTCTGCTTGGGGGCTTTTTTTTTGGGTCTGGAGTTGAAAATTCTGAGTGATCACTGTTAAATTTAGTATTTTATCGTTTTAACTTTATAAACAAATTGTTGAGGGATTTGAGTTTATTTCTGTGTGTGGGTGTTTGTGTACTGATGTTAGTCGTTACATATGTTTGTTTGATGTATTGTTCCTGAGTGTATGCGTAACATCATGATCGTTTTTAGCTTTGCTTCTCTGGCTGTCCTTGATAAGCATCGATCTTAATCAAATAAAGCTATTTATATTTTGAGTAATATGTGATTTATGATTGAAGAAATATGAAAATTTCTTATGCGAAAAAGGAAGTAATCTAGTGATGTGTCTATAGCATCGATATCTAAATGATGCTCTATATGTGATCCATTGAAGATGTCAGTAGGCCTTATTGGTTGTTTCAGACTTGGTGATTGACTTGCTCATAATTTCTCGTCTTCAGGATGGAGGAGCAAGGGGGAAAGCATCTGGACAACCAAAGTTTAGTGGAGGCTCATTTTTTACAACTGTGAGTTTAATTTTTATTTTCTCGTCCGTTTGAGAAGGAAACTCTTGTGTATGTAGCAACTAGGAAAATTTATTTGAGTAAATTATTCCTCTTTTTTTTTAGAAAGAAAAAAAGAAACTGTTTTGATCCATAACCATTCCTCATTTTCCATAGAGTTCACAATTGCTACATAAGGAAATTCTTGTTTTATTTTTTATTTTTGCTTTTTTTTTCCAAAGCTAAAAGTGGGTTATGCACGTATGCTTGAATCAAGATCGAAAACTAAAACCATGACAATGGATGTTTCATTGTCTCATTTATGACAGTCAAGGCCAGTCAACGTGATACTCACAATGAATCAAGTTATCGCGAGATATGCAATAAATATCCTTTAAGATTTGGGAATATTAGCATCAAACTTTGATGCTTGGTCTCACATATGTGATTTAGTATTCATATTTGCATTAGCTTGTAGTTATGGTGCAACTCTTTGACACTTTGATGCCTTTTCTTTATTCAGACTGCTGGAAGTGTTCCACCTGTGACAAACTCAAGGCTTTCACCCCTTCCTCCAGAGCCGGCTGATTTCTACAATCCTACTGCCGTGGACATTCCACTTGATAGTGCTTCAGTAAGTACAATTATTTTGAACTTGACCTGAGATCTTGAGTTTCTCTTTTTTCTTTATTCTTTTCTTTCATTTTTTTCCAATAGAACTGGCTTTCATTAGCTTTCACTTGTAAACAATTTGCAATTTAGGATTTGAAAAAGAAAGAAAGAGAACTTCAGGCTAAGGAAGCAGAACTGAAAAGGAGGGAACAGGTATTCATTATTGCTTCTCTAATCTACTTGAACAGTTATTCTGTATTCATTAGTACATCTTATAATCTGCTGGATGTGATTTTATTTGTTTTGCCTGGTGTGCAGTGCCACATTCTTTCAGGGAACTTGGCATGAAAGTCTCTGTAATAAGAGATGATTTAGTTCTGTAAATAAATAATTCTGTATTCCTGAAGTTAGTTTGGCATGTTTGATCTTGAGTGCATACCCTTTTTTTGGTTTTGCAACAATCACCTTTCATGTTTCCATGGAAGGATTTTCTAGCTGAAGTCTGGTTGTGTCCTTAACTACCGATCACTCGCATGCGGAAAAAAAATTGCTGTTGTTGAAGAAAATATTTGACTTGTTTTGTTTTTAGTATTTGCTGCATGTAATCGGTTGCATGAAGGAACATTGGTTATATTATACACTAGAATAGTATTTCCTGGGGAAAAATAGCTAACTTTTACATTAGTAGAATTTTACAAGAAAATTGATGATGCTTTGCAGGAAGTGAGGCGGAAAGAAGAGGCTGCTGCACGAGGTGCCTCATGTTGCTTTGTTGGAATTTGTTTACAGCTTTTATTCCCTGTATCAAGAAAAATATTTTTCCTTGTCTATTTAATTTGTTCGTTCTGGAGAAAGAGATTGAAGCACGATTTCTTGCTTTGTTGCAGCTGGCATTGTTCTTGAAGAGAAAAATTGGCCTCCGTTTTTCCCCATTATACATCATGATATTGCAAATGAAATACCAATTCATCTGCAGAGGCTGCAATATGTTGCATTTACAACCTTTCTGGGTATGTAACATTATTCTAGTCTGTTTTTGTTCATGGGAGTGCATCTTTTACATAGGGTCAAAATCTTCTCTATTTCAAAATGTTACGTTTTCTGTTGGTGATCAGGACTGGTTTTTGCCCTCCTATGGAATGTTATAGCAGTGACTACAGCATGGATTAAACATGAAGGTAGGGTGTGTTCAATTATTTGCATTTTGATTGTAATTTTAGTGAAATTTGTCTCGGTTGGAATTTGGAACAAACTTACTAATATAAATCTTTTTTAGGTGCAACAATCTGGTTTCTCGCTATCATCTACTTCATATCGGGGGTCCCTGGGGCCTATGTGTTGTGGTACCGTCCGCTTTACCGCGCTTTTAGGTCCGTATTTTTTTTCTTTCTTCAAAATCAAATTTTACATTTCCTGTTGGTATAAATTTTCAGCACGTATATAATGGATTAGTAGTCGAGTACTATTTGAAAATAAAAGTTAAACGAGAGCTTATTTATTAATTTTCATCTGTCAATTATATAATTTGATGAGAATTGCTGAAAATTTTTAAGCGATAGGCAGTTTGACTTCATGGTCATGTTATTCTGCAGGACCGAAAGTGCCATGAAGTTTACTTGGTTTTTCTTGTTTTACTTGGTGAGTTCCCTATTTTACTTATCATTATCATTAATGTCACCATTTTCAACTGCAATTTTATGATACAAAAATCTGTAATTCAAATTTACAGCTTCATATTGGCTTCTGCATCTTTGCTGCTGTGGCACCTCCTGTAGTTTTCCGAGGAAAATCCCTCGCGTAAGTGTAACTTCAATTTCTTCTCCATCAGAATTGCATTCATTATACCTGAAAGCTATTTCTTTTCTTTTCTTTTCTTTTTTTAAATTGTTATTATTATTATTATGGAGTATTTATATATGTGGTGAATCTAACTTTTTTCTTTAATATTTATTTTTTTTATTTTTTCTATATGCAGAGGGATCCTGCCAGCTGTGGATCTTATAGGCGACCATGTATTGGTTGGGGTAAGTTTCAACATTCAACTGCTCTTTAGACAATATAAAACAGAGCCAAAAAATTAGAGAATCTAACAACCCCTAAAAATTCGAAAAAAACCCCAGAAAAATTAAAAGAAACTTCTAATCTGAAATTAAAATTCTAAAAATCGACAAAATAGAACTAAAAAGTTGGATATTTTACCTCCGTTTGATCAAATACTTTTCGTTAAGCGTTTTGGCACAAGGTTTTCGTCTAATTTTACTTTTTATTTTTTATTCTGCAGATATTCTACTTCATTGGGTTCGGACTTTTCTGCTTGGAATCAGTTCTCAGCATCTGGGTCATTCAGGTTAAGAAAAACATAACTAAATTTCCAGATTTACATAGAACACACAAATATTGAGAGTATGTATATTATATTACCATCTTTCTTATAATTACGATTCGTACGTGCAGCAAGTTTATATGTACTTTCGAGGCAGTGGAAAAGCTGCGGAAATGAAGCGTGAGGCCGCTCGGGGGGCCCTGAGGGCCGCAATTTAAGACGTGCTAAAATGTGTCCTTACTCATCAGAGATTTTAATTTTTAAAACGCTTATCTTTGTTTTTTCCTCTTTTTTGAGTGAACGTTGAGGGAAGGGGATAGAAGACGAAAGACTTGGACAACAAATCTTTATTGTATCTGTAAATCTTCATTGTTTTGTTTACGTTTATTCCGTCATATATGGTCCGAGTATGTTTTCGATTTTCACTCTCGAGTGCTTCATTTGGGTTTGTTTTGGTAAAGTCATAATGCTTTGCTGGAATGATTTTTTTTTTTCTTCGAAACGAAAAGCATATCAAACTGCATCTATATGTATCTATGTACATTAGATTCCAACAGTCTCCAAAAGACCATTTTCTTTATGCAGAAAGCCGTTACTTTTTAAATGCAAAATCTGCAGCCTACAATAGCAAGCACTAGCAAGAACTTATGTGCAGCCTTCTTTGAGCAGTGCTACAAAACCAAATACCAGTGAATTATCCCACGTTTTTTTTTTTTTTTTT